GGGGAAGGCCTCACTGAGAAGGAAGACGCTCAAACAAAGACCTGAGTTTGATGAGGAAGGAATCATGTGAAAACCCAGGAAAGAGTGTTCCAGATGGAGGGAACAGCAAGAGCAAAGGCCCTGAGGCAAGAGTCTCTCTTGCTTGTTTCGGGAAAAACAAGGAGGCTGGTGTTCCTGGAGTAGAGTGAGAGAGTGGACGCCTAGCAGGCAGTGAAGCCAAAGGGCTATTGGGGTCTGTAGGACATTGTGGATCATTTAAAAATGTTTGCTTTCACTGTGAGGGAAATGGGGAGCATTGGAGATTTTTGAGCAGAGGACTGACCTGATCAGACTTCCATTTTAACAGATCTATTACAGAATAGACTATAAAGACAAGGCAGAGGTTGGCAGATTAATGAGGAGGCTAATGCAGAAACCCAAGTGAGAGACAATGGTATGACTATCATGCCATTCAATCATCACAAGTGTAGAGTCATTACAGATGGGGTTTGTCTTATGACAAAATGTGTAAGGTACAGAGAGCATTGTGAGAAGGCATTGCTGAACTCTGTCCTGCAGGAAGCTTTCTGAGATGACTCTAGCAGGGGTGGGCAAACTATCTTGCCTGCCACCTGTTCTGTCAACAAAGGCGGTGTTTTTTTTTGTTGTTGTTGTTACTTTTCACCTGAGGATATTTTTTCCATTGATTTTTAGAGAAAGTGGAAGGGAGGGAGGGAGGGAGGGCGAGTGAGAGAGAGAGAAACATCAATGTGAGAGAGATACATCGATTGGTTGCCTCCCGCACACACCCCGACTGGGGCCAGGGATAAAATCTGCAACCCAGGTACATGCCCTTGACCAGGAATCCAACCTATAACCCTTTGGTGCATGGGCTGATGCTCTAACCACTGAGCAACACTGGCCAGGTTATCCTCAATTTTTTTGTTATTGTTAATCCTCACTTGAGGATGTTTTTCCACTGAGTCACTCTATCTAAAAATCAGTGGAAAAACATCCTCGGGTGAGGATTAGCAAAAAAATAAAAATAAAAATGTTTAAACACAGATAATGGAAGGACTAGTGCACGGCGTTCATATACACAACCCCAGATTCAACACTCAAGGTTTTTTGAAAGAAAGATGCTACTAACATCATGACATTTCACCTACAAACTTTAGCAAAACACACTCTATGTTTGACTTCTCTATCTTGTTTATCATCTTTCTTTCCCCACTAGACTATGAGCACTACAAGGGCAGAGACTTTTATCTATTTTGTTCACTGTGGTTTCATCAGCCTCAAGAACATTGCCAAATTTCTATAGCTCAGGGCAAGAAAAGATAGGACAGTTCCTGATTCTGGTTCTGCCTCTAACTGACGTATGATTCTGGGGCTTATTTCCCCTTGTAGAACCTTGGTTTCCTCATCTATAAAGTTGTTGTGAGGATCAAACAAGATAATTGCACTGTTAGCATGTCAATTAATTTCTATCTAACTCCTTGAGGGAGGGGACTTGGTCTAATCTGACCTTCTGGACCCTGGGCTCTTAGAAGGCAGACATCTTTTTTTTTTTTTTAAACTTATTTTTATTTATTTATTTATTTATTTATTTTGTTCAGATAGAGTGGGAGGGAGAGAAAAGATATAGAGAGAGAAACATCAACGTGAAAGGGACACATCGAGTGGTTGCCACCCGCATGACTCAACCAGGGCCGGGGACAAACTGCAACCAAGGTACATGCCCTTAGTGGGAACCGAACCCAGGTCTCTCTGGACCGCAGGCCAACGCGCTAACCACTGAGCTACCGGCCAGGGCTAGAAGGCAGACATCTTGCTCCGGGATGTTTGTAGCTGCAGGGCCTAACATAGCCTCTCAGGAGAAGCTCTTTGACTTGAACTGCTCCAATAGAAAATCTAGTAGAGCCCTGGCCGTTTTGGCTCAGCGGTTGGAGCATCGGCCTGCGGTACAGAGAGACCCGGGTTCGGTTCCCACTAAGGGCACATACCTTGGTTGCAGTTTGTCCCCGGCCCTGGTTGGTCGTGCGGGTAGCAGCCACTCGATGTGTCCCTTCACGTCGATGTTTCTCTCTCTCTCTCTTCCTCTCTCTCCCTCCCGCTCTATCTGAACAAAAAATGGAAAAATGTCCTCGAGTGAGGATAAAAAAAAAAAAAAAGAAAAAGAAAATCTAGTAGAAACCCAACAGAATGTATTCCCTTGTGCTTACTTGCCCCTCTTTCCATTGCTTGTTCATTCACTGCTACCAATAAAGACTGTACTTCATCTCTTCCTTTATCTCCTCATTTAACAGTTTTCAGAAGATACACCTAGGAGAGGAGCACAAAACTTCACTAGGTCCTGAGATTCTATTTGAGTAATTTCTCTGATGGATCTTTGAGTTTTTCTAAAGCAGCAGTTCTCAACCTGTGGGTCGTGACCCTGGGGGTCGAACAACTCTTTCACAGGGGTCACCTAAGACATAACAGTAGCAAAATTACAGTTATGAAATAGCAACAAAAATAATTTTATGGTTGGGGGTCACCACAACATGAGGAACTGTATTAAAGGGCCCGGCATTAGAAAGGTTGAGAACCACTTTAGAGTCTAAAGAGTAATCCAGCCTCCCGTGGCCTTTCCTGCATTTCAGATTAAGTTGTGCAAGCTGACAAACTTGCAAACATGCCTTGAACACAAAGATGGATATTTGCAAAGAATGGGACTCAATTCTGTTGAACCTACACATTTCTTTTCCGGTCTGATTGCTTAGTAGTAAGTGGAATGCCTGGTTTTTAACAAGCTCCCTGATAACCATGACCCTAACTGCACTCATGCACGTGTAAGGCAAGATCGTTTCATTGAGAATTCTTTGTCTTCATCTTGTTCTCTCCCCTTCAAGCTAAAACTCTTGAGCAAAATTTTAATTAGTTTAAGGGAATAGTTGCCTCATCTGTGAGGATGGAAGATAACCTAACAAGGTGCTATGGTCATAAATTCCTAACTGGGCAGGTCATGGTGGGTAGTCATGCCCCAGGCCTATAACTACTTTAGTGAAAGGTTTTAAGCTAGCCCTGTCATTATTCTTGTGCATCTAGGTTAACACACCTCTGATATACCAGAAGTAATAACCCTCAAAGAGGATATTAACCCTCAAGAGACCATATAATCTTGTTAACTATCTGATAACCCAACCCTTGCCTCACTTTCCCTAATATTCCTTAATTTCAAATGCCTAAAAGAAACTACAAAACTGTTATTCTCTGGAGCATTTGAGATCTTGCTCCCCAGCATATGTCCTCAGTTTGGCTCAAATAAACTCAAAAAGTTTATAGGTTTGGATGTTTCCTACTGTTGACATCTGTAAAAATGCCAACAAGAGTAACAACCTAACAATGATGGATATGAAGTCTAGTTACTTTATAACTGGTAAAGTTCTGTTTCAATATTAGCTACTACTATGGTTAGTTTATAACCTGTCTAGATTCTTAACTAAACCTTGCTCCAGTTGTATTGGCTGCCCTCAGTCTGGCGACTAATATCTTTGGACAGACTGAGGACCAAACTCCCTTCTTTTCACAGGAATGACAATAGCAACTCAATTTCCCACGAGGACAGAGAGCAGTTTGGAGTATTCATCCAGACCTAGGGTTGGGGGATCCTTTGAGGAATAAAAGTTGTCCAATCAAGCCCTGGCCGGTTTGGCTCAGCGGTTAGAGCGTTGGCCTGCAGTCCAGAGAGACCCGGGTTTGGTTCCCGCTAAAGGGCACGTACTTCAGTTGCAGTTTGTCCCTGGCTCTGATTGAGTCGTGCAGGTGGCAACCACTCAATGTGTCCCTTTCACATCGATATTCCTCTCTCTCTCCCTCCCCCCCTCCCTCCCACTCTATCTGAACAAAATATGGAAAAATATTAAGTGAGGATTAAAAAAAAAAAAAGTTGTCCAATCAAGCCTGGTGGGCTGGAGTGGGGACATGAGCTGCTCAGTCAGAAGCAGATCTGTGACTAAAACCCAGTGTCCTTGTTTCTTTCCAGCATACCTCATTCTCAACATTACTGATCGTAACAGCCGCCATTTATTGAAATCCCACTATATGTAGGCCCCAGGACTAATTTATTTCTAATCATCACAACCACCCTGTAAGGTATTATACTGTGCTCACTTCTCAGACAAGCTCAGAGTTCAAGTAATTTGCTCAGACTTGTGTTAAAAGTGCTAAGAGCCCAGCTGGTGTGGCTCAGTGGTTGAGCATGGACCCACGCACCAAGAGGTCATCGTTTGATTCCTGGTCAGGGCACAGGCCCAAGTTGTGGGCCAAATCCCCAGTGGGGGGCGTGCAGGAGGCTGCCAATTAATGTTCTCTCTCATCCATGCTTCTATCTCTTTCTAAAACATATAAGTAAAGAAAAAAAAAAGTTTTAAATAAATAAATAAATAAATAAATAGATAAATAAATACAGTGCTAAGATACTTCCGGAAGTTAGCTTGGAGTAGGGCTGCCTGATAACGAATACTTTTTAGTGTAACTATACTTAATATTATTGTTTAACTGAAATTCAAATTTAACTGGGCAGAATTTAACTGCTCAATCTGGCAACCATAGCTGGGGGTTACTCGGCAAAATCAAAGCAGGCTCCTCCCTGTTGCCCTATGTCTTTGTTGGTTTTAGTTCTCTTTTTACCAGCCAGCCGACGTTAACAAGCAGGTTCAAACTTCTGGCCTCTGACCTTTCCAGGAAGTGGAGGGTGGAGAAGGGCGAGCCTCCTGCCCCTCACCAACATGTCTGCCACGGAGCCGTCACAAGGATTTTCCGCCCGGCACAGACATGGCCGCGCCCCTCCGGCGAGGATTGGCTGCAGCCCACTGCCGGGCCTCCCTCGGCGGTGGGTGCCTCTTCCATTGGGCAGTTATAAAAGATGGCGGATCCCTGTCCCCGCCTCCCTCGCGCGCAGGGCTCGCGGCGGGGGGGCGGGGCCGCAGCGGCGGCTGGGGAGCAAGGCCTTCGGTGATTGGCGGAGAGCGGTGGCTGTGGTCTGGAGCTTGTTTGCGGAAGTAGAGGGAAGTGGAAGTGCTGAGTAAGACGAGGTGAGTGACGGGACAGGAGAGGCGGGGCCTGGCCCCCCCACCCCAAACTTCCTTTGCGCCCCAGACTTCGTGAACTTCCTTTGCGCCCCAGACTTCGTGGTCCCTCCTTCGCACCTTCCCCGTGTTCGCTGATTCTGAGGCATGTCCTCCATTGATCCTGTGTGACTCCTGAGTACCTCCAGGTTCCTCCCTTTGACCCCCCCACCCGTGTCCCCAATTCCCATCCCTTGATCTCTGTTGTCCTCCAGGAACCCCAGCCTCGACCCTGGGTCCCCATCAGTACCTCAGTCTGCCCTGTGTGTCTTCCCTCAGTCCTTAACCTCATGGGTCATCCACTCCTCCCTTCACCATCTCTCAGTGCTTCTCAGCGGCCCCAGCTTTCACTACGGCCCCATTGATTATTAATGATTGATTATCCCCAGCTTTTGTCCTGTGCCTTTCTAAGTTCTGATTTTTCTGCCTCTGTGTATTCCCATTTGATCCCCACTTCACCTCCATTTGTCTCCCCAGTTCTCCATTTAGCTGTTTCCCATTTTTAATTCCCTGCTTCTCCTTTATTGTCTCTTCTGCACCTCCAGACGTCATCTGTGCCTGCCTTCCCCCCATGCTTCCTCCTTCCCCATAGCCTGCTCACCCCAGTCTCCCAACCCCCTAATCTTCTGTCCACCTCCTGCTCTAACAGATGACCTGGAAGCTGGTGACAGGGTGCATGAGACCCATGTGACCATGTGACTGGGACAGACAAGCCCATGGGTGTGGGAGAGGGAGAGGGCACAGGACTTGTGAGAATTTTTTTTATTGAACTATCAAACAAATACCTTCCCTTCCCCTAAGCTTCTAGATCTTTCCCTCACCTGCCTCTTCTCCACCCAACAGGATGTTAGGCAGGTTTGGTTTGGCAACACATATGCTCCACCCTTGGGCTGAACGCAGTGTTTTTGTTACTGTCTTTGCCTCAAAACGTTGCTGGAGTTGGGAGGCTATTTTCCATCCAAGTCTCAGTTTCCTCATCTGTGACAGGGGGGGTTGTATTTCCTGCTCTCATGAGCCTGCTGTGAGGTTCAGACTTTGAGATAATGTAGAAAGCAAAGCTTTGTAATCAGTATGGTTCTGTACAAATGCATGGCTTTGCTATTTTGTCATAGACAGGAAAGGGAAAGGGATAGAATTTTTAAAAATGAGGAGGGCAAGACAAATAGAAGGTATACTATTTTTTATATAGTATTTGGCAGTATTTATTGATTATTCGCTGAGTCAGGCTCTCTTCTATGTTATCCTTATCATTCCTTCATTCCTTCCTGCCTCATTTATTTAACAGAATTAATGGACTGTTTACTATGTCTATGCTACTCTTGATTAGCCAATGTTATTCCCATTTAGCGTTTACTATGCCTAGGCTATTCTTTTTTTTTTTTTTTTATCCTCACCCGAGGACATTCTTCCATTTTTTGTTCAGGTAGAGTGGGAGGGAGAGAGAGGAACAGAGAGAGAGAGAGAAACATCGATGTGAAAGGAACACATCGAGTGGCTGCCACCCGCACGACCAACCAGGGCCGGGGACAAACTGCAACCGAGGTATGCGCCCCCAGCGGGAACCGAACCCGGGTCTCTCAGGACCGCAGGCTGACGCTCTAACCGCTGAGCCAAACCGGCCAGGGCTAGGCTATTCTTGATTAGCCAGTGTTATTCCCATTTAGCATAAGGAAGAGAGGACAGATGAGTTGCCTGAGATCACACCAATTGATGCAGGTTGGAGCTGAAATCGAAATACTGTACTTTGTAACACCAGAGCCAGTATGATTGACCTGCTGTGTAAGAGTCACTACTCCTGTCTCAGTGTCCAGGGCTTTTTCTCCTTTCATGGGTTACTTTCTTATTAGATGACCATATCCCCCAAAGGAATTTCCTTCTCGCTCAGCAGAATGACGTCAGCAATAGAGGAAGGAAGAATTTAAGTGTGTGTGTGTGTGTGTGTGTGTGTGCGCACACTGCAGGAGTGAAGGAGATGCCTTGTGTTACAAACTGACTTTGTAGAGAGTGGCTCCCTGGGAGTACATTTTAATAGGTCCATGCCTAAAATGCCTCTTCTCTCTCTTTTTTTTTTTTTTTTCCCATTCTCATTTTTTTGGTGATTTTATCCAGTCACATAACTTTTAAGTATCAGCTCTACCCTGACAACTCCCAAATGTATACCTTCAGGCCAGTCCAGACCTTTCCCTGGAATGATAGACTCACATAGCTAGTTGCCCACTTAACACCTGAAACTTAGGCATTTCAGGCTTAAAGTTTTTAGAATTGGAGCTTCTGATACTCACCTCTCATCCCTTCCCTACCCTCATCCTAAATCTGTACCCCCACTCACTTTCCCGTCTTTAAGAATTGGCAGTATTCTTTTAGTTGCTCAGGCCAAAGCTGTAAAATTATCTTTGATACCTATACACTTCACATCCAGCCAGAGTGATCTGTTAAAATGTGAGTCCCTTCCCTCTCACTGTACATACCTGACCCTTTTATCTCTCTGACCTCACGGGCTTCCTTGGTGTTCCTGGAACTTACCAGGCATGCTACAGCCCAGGGGCCTTCGCACTTGCTCTCACCTTGGCCTGGAAAACTCTTCATCTAGGTATCTATTTGACTTTTGCCTTTCCTTTAAGTCTTTATTCAAGGTCAAGTTCTTGTGAAGACTTTCCTGTTCACCCTATCTAAAAATTCAGTTTCTAGCTGGACATTTTTTTTCATATCCTCAGCCGAGGACATTTTTGCATTTATCTTCAGGTAGAGTGGGAGGGAGAGAGGGAGAAAGAAGCATCGACGTGAGAGAGACACATCGACTGGTTGCCCCTCACACAACCCCAACCGGGGCCGGGGACAAACCACAACCGAGGTACGTGCCTTCAGCAGGAACCGAACCAGGTCTCTCTGGTCCATGGGCTGATGCTCTAATGCTGAGCCAAATGGGCCAGGGCGTCTAGCTGGACACTTTTTATTACCCTTCTCTGGTTTATTTTCCTTCTCAGCGTCTAAACCTATGTATATATTTGCCTGTTTATCTTCTTTATTATTTAAAGCCCTCTAAAATATAAGTTCTAGAAAAGCAGGGATTTTGTCTTTGTTCATTAGTGTATTCTCAGCAATTAGAACAATGCCTTCTATATAATAGGTCTTTAATAAATATTTGTAGAGTGAGTCATAAAATGGGCCACCCTGTACCACGCCATCAGCCCGAAGACCTCTTACAGTATTGTTGTTCCTGCCCTTGGGAGCTCCAGCAACACAGGGCAGCTTGCTTCCAGCCATGGTCCAGCTGAGCAGAGTGAACGAAAGAGACACCTTTTCCGTTTCTGACGGAGCATTTTGCTCTGGTTCATATGAATGGCAGTGTATGAATGGCAATGCATCTGTAAGCTGAGGGCCTTAGCTTTTGGATTACAAGAGTCTGAAAATCAAGCCTGACTCAGGCATTTTCCATTCAGGCTTGCTCCTGAAGGCAGTCTGAGGATTACGAGCTGGAGCTCTGGATTCCAACTAATTCACTTCCGATTTGGCAAGTTACATAATCTCCTATGCCTCAGTTTCCTGGGCGTGATTTGGCAGAAGTATACCTTCTTTTATGACTGTTTTGAGGATTAAATATGATAATTCCCTGAGAACTCGGCGAGGCGCCTGGCGCTCAGTGGGTGCTGGGTGAATGTAGCAGTGTTGTTGGAGTGCAAGGTGATGGGAGTGAGCTTTTCCCCATTTGTCATTCGCTTAGGAAAGAGTTAGGGACGAGCTGGGGTCAGAGAGAGTATTTGGAGGAACATTTTGTTTTGTAGGCAGCCATGGAGGTCCAGAGGCTCAGATGGGAGGTGAAAATAACATTTGACTTGACCCCTATTTTCATCTAGTCTTTCCTCATGCACTAATTGAGTGCCTACTGCGTGCAGGCCCTCTACCTAGTGCTGTTCAGGAGTCTGGAAAAGAAGGCATGAGTCCAGCCGCTAGGTGATACCTCCCATCTCCTCTCTCTGGGCCTCGGTTTCCCCATGTGCCCCACAATATTCCCCATAATTTGAGAGCTTCAAGGCAGCTAACAGATGCGAGAACCCCCTGCCAGCTGTAAAGCGCGGTGGCCTGTGGGGAGATGCTCTCACGTGCTAGCTGCAGGAAGGAGGTCCGCAGTGGTCAGCACAGACTCAGTGCTCTGACCAGACCCCACGTTCTCGGCCCATCCTGCCAGGGCAATGGACTCGGGAGACATCGGCTGCTGTCCTGTGCTGTTGTTCCGATCATGGGACATCCTGTCTTAAGCAGCCGGCGTCTGCTTTCCAGCTGGAGCAGCTCTGCGTGTGCCCCAGAGTCCCCACGTGGCCAGTCCCGTGAGGTCAGCTTCCTGGCCGGGCTGCCTGGATCCGGTCACGCACCTCCAGGCAGCTGTCCTGCCCCTCTGGCCAGGCTTCTTCAAGAAAGAGGCAGAGGCTTGAAGAGTTTTCCTGCTTGGAGTAGGAATGAGCTCAGCTGGGGGCACATAAAGCTAACCTGTCCAGACCCAAGCTCAGTGCCACCTCTGGCGCCCAGGAAAGGTGTCCCTGGCGCGGGCTCGAGCACCCTGTGAGCCTTTCCCCGCAGTGACGCAGCTCAGAGTGGGTGGGGAATAGAGTGTGTGGGCTGTTACCACCTGCAGGGGAATTAGAGAGGAGGGAGGGGGTGCCTCAGAGGTGCGGGTCTGTGGGCTTTGTCGGTTCGTTCACTAGTTATTCATTCATTCACCAGACATTTATTATAGAGCCACTACTTGCTAGGTGCTTGGATAAACAAATGAAAGGCGGCAGGCAGGCAGGCAGGCAGCCCAGACCCACAGATATACCCTCATCATCTCAGGGTAGGGCTGCAGTGGGGGGGTGCGCAGGGTGGTGGGGGACAGGGTAAGGTAGCACAGACGGGGGACTGAGACAGGGAGACACAGGGTGTTGTTCTTAGAGGAGGTAGCACATGAACTGAGTCTTAAAGGACAAGAAGGG